TGCTTGGATTGCAGCTGGAAAAGAGTATTCTTAACCCACCCCGCCACCTGCTACAGGACCACCTGCCCAGGTACAGTCCGCCCCTTGGATTCCCCTGCTCTATCCACTGAGCCAAACTGGTTCTGGCTAATTTGCTCTTTAAAAGGCCTATCTCCAAATACAGTCACATGCAGAGGTATTGAGGGTTGGGATGTCTACACAGGAAGGGGGGGGATCACTTAATTCCATCCAGAACAGCTGGGCCCCATTGTCATGGCCCCATGTGAGCAGGTCATTCACACAGGGCCTCACCAAGCTTACCATCAAGTGTCCTTTGCCACCCACACCCAGCCCCTCCTCTGCGCACCCCACTTTCTTCCCCCCTTTGCTGTAGGTGTTGCAGCTAGTTTCCTGGTGGTTCCCGGGGAGTGGGGCAGGGTGGCCTGCGGGATTTGCGCCGACGTGAAGGGTCCCAGGGTATCTCTCTGCCAGGCCCCTGTGACTCGCAGCCTTGCCAGAACGGAGGCACGTGTGTTCCAGAAGGACTGGACAGGTACCACTGCCTGTGCCCGCCGGCCTTCAGAGAGGAGGCTAACTGTGGTACGTGTGCACGGGACCTTCAACATGGGCCATTGGGGAGGGCTGGCGTCCCGGGTCCCCTGGCTCGCCCCTCACCCCTCACCCTGGAGCTACGAGGAGGAAACTGGCCCTTGAGTTGAGAGCCACCCACTTACTAAGGGCCTGGTGCTGTGGTGTCTCACGGGATTTGGCCTCTGAGTCTCTGTGGACGGAGCTCTGGGTGGGACAGTGGCTCCTGGCTCGTTAGCTTCCGAATGGTCACTGCTTGACACCTGAGCATCGCTGAGCCCAGCTGCAGGCGGGAGCCAGCCCAGCTCGGACCTGGTGCTGGGCGGAGCCCCTCCTTTAGGAAGGGGAGCCTCAACCCTGTGTGTGTGTGTGTGTGTGTGTGTGTGTGTGTGGGTTTCCCTTTTGGTTTTTCTTTTTAGGTTTACTTTTTTAAAAAATATATATTTTTATTGATTTTTTTTACAGAGAGGAAGGTAGAGGGATAGAGAGTTAGAAACATCAATGAGAGAGAGACATCGATCAGCTGTCTCCTACACACCCCCTACTGGGGATGTGCCCGCAACCAAGGTACACGCCCTTGACCGGAATCGAACCTGGGACCTTTCAGTCCGCAGGCTGACGCTCTATCCACTGAGCCAAACCGGTTTCGGTGTGTTTCCTTTTTGGTTTTAAAGGTATGAAATAGAGACTGTAATAGGCTGCACCTCCTAGGGCTGTTGGGAGCTTGGAATCAGATTATGTACAGGATGGAGCAAAAGTAGGTTTATCGTAGTTCGTATGGGAAAGCAATACAATTATTAGTACACCACCATATAAGAATGAACCCTGTTTTGTGCACTCACCACTGTAAACCTACTTTTGCCCCTCCCTCTATGTTAAGCGCTAGGCACACTGCCTCAGCACGAAGCAGGGGCTCATTTAATGAATTCTATAAAAATGTCATGCTGGGTCCATTGGAGATGGACACGGAAGATCCTCTGACTCACAAGCCCCACAAAGGCAACTCCAGAAGGACCGTAGATCTGAGTGTCGAAGGCCGAGCCGAGAGCCGTCTGTTTTCACAGAGGAAGGAGTGTAGCTGCAGGATTTCCCAAACAATACACAAGAGGCACTAACTGTAATGGGGTGGAGGGGGGGCGGTTATAGAATAGGTTGCATGTCAATTTTTAACAATATATATTTTTATTGATTTCAGAGAGGGAGAGAGAAACACCCATGATGAAAATCATTGATAGGCTGCCTCCTGCATGCCCCCTACTGGGGATGGAGCCCACAACCTGGGCATGTGCCCCGACTGGGAATTGAACTGTGACCTCCTGGTTCATGGGTCGATGCTCAACCATGAAGCCACTCCGGTTGGGCTACATGTTAGATTTTAAGCAGTGGCTGGGTAGAGACCCCTAGCAAGACTCAGAGGGAGACTCTGTGCTGTGCAGTGGTCACAGCCCCTGCAGCCTGTGTCCACCCCGTCTCCCTCCACTTGTCCCCCACTCCCGGGAGAGAGGTTTCTGCTGCCTGGTGTGGTGCTTGGGCCTCTCGGGTGGGACGGTGGCCTGCATGTCCCCGGTGGCCACAGCCTGACGGCCACTGTGGTGTCGGCAGCCCCGACGCTGAGCCTGCCGTGCAGAATCGACGTCCTCTTCCTGCTGGCCAGCTCGGCGGGCACCACGCCGGAGGGCTTCCAGCGGGCCAAGGCCTTCGTGCGGCGGTTTGCCCAGGCGTCGCTGAACGAGGACTCCCGGGCCCGAGTGGGTGTGGCCCGGTACAGCGGGGAGCTGGAGGTGGCCGTGCCCGTGGGCGAGTACCTGGACGTGCCCGACCTGGTGCGGAGCCTCGATGCCATCCCCTTCGGCGGCGGCGCCACGCTGACGGGCAGGGCCCTGCGGCAGGCGGCGGAGCGCGGCTTCGGGAGCACCAGGACCGGCCTGGACCGGCCCCGCCGGGTGGTGGTGCTGTTCACCGAGTCGCCCTCCGAGGACGAGGTGGCCGGGCCGGCGCGCCATGCGAGGGCCCGGGAGCTGCTGCTGCTGGGCCTGGGCAGCGAGGCCGTGCGGGCAGAGCTGGAGGAGATCACGGGCGGCCCTGAGCACGTCCTGGTCTACGCCGACCGGCAGGATCTGTTCAACCAGATCCCGGCGCTGCAGGGGAAGCTGTGCAGCCGGCCGCAGCCAGGTGAGACCCAGGTGCCTGTGCCCAGAGCAGCCTGGGCCGGACCCAGGGCCGGTGTGGGCAGTGACGGCCCTTCCTTCTGCTGCTACCACTGAGCCAAGGCCTGTGTCTAGGGGCTGGGACCACTTTCAGTAATGTGGGACCAATAACAGCACCTCCTAGTGGGCTTTTGGGAGGCTTAAGCAAGACAAGCAGCGTGCACAGAGTATGCACGCAGAGCATCTCGGTTGTTGCTATTGATTAATACTCATTTATTGTTATTAACGTGGAGCTCCGATAGGGCAGCTCTCCAGCTTCCTAGATGGGAGCCCACAGTATATTCCCACCACGTACAAGCATGCATGTGCACAACTGGAACAGGCAGTTCATGGAGCGATGCCCTAGCTACCTGAAGAATGTTCTAGAATTTCCTGTTGAGCTGCACAACCCACTCAGTGGATTTCGTGGCCCACCGTTGGGTGTGCCCTGGAGCAGCGGTCGCCAACCAGTGGACCCCCGGTGGTCCATGAGGTCCGAAGGGCTGGCGACTGCTGCTCTGGAGACCACTGCCCCCGTGGAGCAGACATTCCCATCGGAGGCGGGCCTTGGCCCGTGGGGAGGGGCGGCAGCTGAGACACATCCTTGCAGTGGAGTTGCTGCCACAAAGGGTCCCCAGAGCTCAGCGGCTCACACAGGATAGACCTTTACTTCTCTCGTAACCATTCCAGGGCGAGCAGCCTGAGCCAGCAAGGCGGCTTGGCAGCCCTGTGGTTCTGCCTCCAGGTCCCAGGTCACTGTTTCTCAGGGGGAGGGGGAGGGGAAGGCAAGCAGCTTCCTTCTGAGGGTGTCACTTGGAAATGGCACAATGTCTTCCAACCATATCCCATCAGCTAGCACTCAGACACCGCACCACACGGAGCTGCCAGGGATGAGGCCTAGGCAGGCGCTCCCATGAGCTGTTGCTATTCTAGCCCAGGGTGGGGGCGGCGCCTGTCGTGGACAGACGGCGGACTGGCTGTCCCCACCGAGCTGGCCCGGTCCCGCCCTGGCAGACCTGCCCCCTGAGGCTCTCCCGCCTCCTCCGCAGGCTGCCGGGCACAGTCGCTGGACCTGGTCTTCATGCTGGACGCCTCGGCCTCCGTGGGGCCCGAGAACTTCGCCCGGATGCTGAGCTTCGTGAGGAGCTGCACCCTCCAGTTCCACGTGAACCCCGACGTGACGCAGATCGGCCTGGTGGTGTACGGCGGCCGGGTCCGGACGGCCTTCGGGCTGGACAGCCACGCCGCCCGCCCCGCCGTGCTGCGGGCCACCGGCCAGGCCCCCTACCTGGGCGGGGCGGGCTCGGCGGGCACAGCCTTGCTGCACGTCCACGACCGGGTGATGACCGTCCAGGGGGGCGCCCGGCCCGGCGTCCCCAAAGCCGTGGTGGTGCTCACGGGTGGCCGAGGGGTGGAGGACGCCGCCGTGCCCGCCCAGAAGCTCAGGGACAACGGCGTCTCGGTGCTGGTGGTGGGCGTGGGGCCCGTCCTGAGCGAGGCGCTGCGCAGGCTCGCGGGCCCCCGCGACGCCCTGATCCACGCGGCGGCCTACACCGACCTGCGGTTCCACCGGGACGCGCTCATCCAGTGGCTCTGCGAGGGTGAGTGGGCGAGCCGGCGCCGTGCAGCGCTGCCTCCAAGGGTGGCACCTCGGCCTGACCCTCCAGGGGCATCTCACAAGGATCGCGGCTCCCCCTGGCTCTGGGCGCTTCCCAAGAGCCGGGTTCCATGCTAAGTCCGTGCTGAGTCCTGTGACAGGCACACCACCCTCTTTTGATATTCAGCGTACAGGAAGTTTAGCACCTACCCCACCCCAAACCTGAGAGTGTATCCACGCCATTTATTCTTTATTTTTAAAATATATTTTATTGATTTTTTTTTATACAGAGAGGAAGAGAGAGTTAGAAACATCGATGAGAATCATCGATCAGTTGTCCTCCTACACACTCCCCACTGGGGATGTGCCCGCAACCAAGGTACATGCCCTTGACCGGAATCGAACCTGGGACCTTTCAGTCTGCAGGCCGACGCTCTATCCACCGAGCCACACCGGTTCCGGCATATCCACACCACTTAAACAGAAGATGTCGCTAGACCCGGAGATCCCCCGAGGTTGGCACTGACCTTGGTTGTGAATGCCAGAGCGGGGGTGGCCAACAGCCAGGCCAGCCTGACTCAAAGGCTTCCTTTTGCCAGTGACATCCTTCCCGCCTTCTTTAAATTTACTGATTGGTTTTTAGGGAGAGAGGGCCGAAGGGAGAGGGATAGAGAGAAACATCATTGATCGGCTGCCTCCCGCATGCCCCATCCTGGGGATAGAGCCCGCAGCCCGGACATGTGCCCTGCCCAGGAATCGAACCAGTGACTTCTGGGTTCATGGCTTGATGCTTAACCACTGAGTAACCTGACCAGGCTATCCTTCCCGCCTTTTTAAAAGCATGCGGCCGTTGTGAGAACAGTAAGCGGTGCTAGGAGCCTCACACCTCCTAGAAAAAGTCTCCGTACGCTTGTGGGAGGGCTGGGTGGAGGGCGGTCTCTGAGCTAGCCACGCAGTGGGGAGCACCCACCACGTGCTCCCCTGTGGCTCCCAGGCCCACGTCAGCACCAAGGCCTGTGAGACGCTCCCCGAGTGACCTCGCAGCGGCTCTGGGCCTCCTTAGAGGCGGGGGTCTTCGGGGCTGACCCGGGCTGGGCCTCCTGGGCCCGTGCTTTCTCGCAGAAGCCAGCCGGCCCGTGAATCTCTGCAAACCCAGCCCATGCATGCACGAGGGCACCTGCGTCCTGCGAGGCGGGAGCTACCTCTGCGCCTGCCGGGACGGCTGGGAGGGCCCGCACTGCGAGAGCCGTGAGTGGCCCGGGCCCCGCGTGGGCGAGCTGGGGGCGGTGTTCCGAGCCCGGCCGAGCCCTGGGGACTCTGCTGAAGGCAGGCTCCAGGGTGCTGGCTCCGCGGAAGGAATCCTAGCATCCTCTGTTCATTCGCGCAAGAAGCAAGTAGCCGGGACCTCCTGGGTCCCCGGCATCGTTCTGGGTCGGGGGACATGGACAGGGAGAATGTCTGATCTTGAGGGAGCCTCCATGTGCGGAGGGAGGCAGACAGGAAATAAGCACAACAAAGTCCCGGGACTGGGAGGGAGGCCTCCGTCAGGAGCCCCGTGGATCCAGAGTGACTGAGAGACGAGGACCCCAATGCAGGAAGGTGGGTGGATGCGGTGGAAGCTGGTGGGAGGTTTTTGGTTTTTTTTTTAAATATATTTTATTGATTTTCTTTACAGAGAGGAAGGGAGAGAGAGTTAGAAACATCAATGAGAGAGAAACAACAATCAGCTGCCTCCTGCACACCTCCTACTGGGGATGTGCCCGCAACCAAGGTACATGCCCTTGACCGGAATCGAACCTGGGACCTTTCAGTCCGCAGGCCGACGCTCTATCCACTGAGCCAAACCGGTGAGGGCTGGGAGTTCTTTTTTTGAGCGTTTCTACTTGCTCAGTGAAGTGGGAGGAATCAGCTGAGCGTGAGGATGGAGAGGAGGAGGTGCAGGAGGTTGGCGGAGAGAGAAGTAGCCATCTGAGAGGGGACCAGACTAAGGTCCTAGAGGAGGACTGCTGGGCAGCATTGCGCCCACCTGGGGCTCCTGTTAGGATTTTAAAGTTAGAACCAAAGGCAGTTCCCCTGGGAGCCTGGGGGTCTCGGCCACTGGCAGAGGTGGGCTTCCCCAGGCGGGCAGTGACTCTGAAGGGCCCTCAGGTAGGGCCTTTGGTCTGGCATCTTCTGCTTGTTCTTAACCCACAGCCAAGACAGGCGGGGGCCCACAGGGCTGCTGGCAGGGTGAGGACGGACACTCACGTCCTCACGGTTCGCTTCTTCGCAGGGGCCTTGCGAGGAGATGCCCTCAGGACAGGAGGGCGGCCGCCCAGCCCGTCCCAGCCACTCCGGAGGCCTGGGCACCCTGGACGATGAGGGGGCGCCGGCCCTCGGCGGAGCATCCTCTTTGGAGTCCCCCAAGCGCCTGCCTCCAGTTCTGTCCGGAGCCCGCCTGCCCGCCTTCCTCGCCTGGGAGCAGAGACCCATTCGCAGCTGATTTCACTCCCCAATGATGGTGTTGGAAACTCTGGACGTGTGAGTCAATGTTTTCTTTCTATTGTAGCTGTGCCCTGTGGAGCTTGTCATCTGTCCCTTTCCCCTGAGGAGCCACAGAGGTGCCTGGACACTTCTGATGGCCAGTGTTGGGACAGCGAGGCCCAGAAGGAGGCAGAGACTATCGGGTCATTCGGACCACCGAAGCGATGGCAATTCGAGGTGGAGCAAGTGCAGAACTTTTTCTTTCCCCAAAGACGTCCTCGATGTGATGCGTTCATGGTGCTTGTTTGAAAAGGGGCTTAAGCGGCATTTGTGACCTCTGGTGACTGGCTCTGTGTGTGGGGAGAGAGGGTGAAAAGGCCCAGACTGGACCCGTGATGGACTAACCAGCTGGTTTGGCTGAGTGTGCAAACAGCCGTGGGGGGCCGCGTTCTCCTTTAGAGCTTACTTGGAGGGGGTGTTAACTGTGGGGCGTTTACTGAGTGCTTTTCTTCCTGTCCTTTTAGAGCGGGGGTGCAAAGAGCAATGGGATTCTTAAACTCCACACATAGAGAATAAAGAAACCTAGAACGGTTTTGCTTTTCCCTGTGTAGTTTTTAAAGGGTTTTAAGAAACGAGGTTGGTTCTTCACAGGCGTGTTGGTATCGGTATGGCACATGTCCCGGTGAACCAGGCGCTCCTCACCGGCCTGTTCAGGCACCGGTCCTCGCCGTCGGTTGTGGCTGTGTTGTTTCGAGTTCAGTTTTCAGGGGAAACGGTTGCAGAGCCCTCGCCGCAGTCCAGACTCTTGATTGGAGCTTTTCTCTTTACTCTTCGATAACGCAATGCTCTCTCTACCAAGGGTCACGGCTATCTCGACTGAAAAGCCACTGAGCTGCCTGGTTACCTCCACCCTGGTTACTCCACGGCGCTGTCAGGCGGCAGAAACAAAAAGCCAGGGCTGCCCAGGCTATTGCGACAGTTGTTTGTGTTCAGGATATTTTCAGCCCAGTCATTATGCTGGCCTTGGAGGAAGGTGACAGAGCGAGGCCACGGGTCTACCTAGCAGGGGCCGATGCTGGAGAAACTTATAAGAATCTGTTGTCTTGAAAATTCTCAGCGGTTTTGTCACTTTAGAGCAGTGGTTCTCAACCTTCCTAATGCCGCGACCCTTTGATACAGTTCCTCATGTGGTGGTGACCCCCAACCATAAAACACAGATATTTACATTATGATTCACTAACAGTAGCAAAATGACAGTTAGGAAATAGTAACGAAAATAATTTTATGCCTGGGGGTCACCACCACATGAGGAACTGTATTAAAGGGTAGAGCATGGGTTCTTTGTCTGGTTCAAGGCTATTGGGATGTCCCATGTGAATTGCTTGGACCCTAAAAAGCCCCCTTAAATTGTGGATTACATATTAAAGGGGTCACCACTTCTCGTTTTAGGTCCCAGCAGCCATGGAGGGCATGCCTTTCTTACTGCCTGACAAGCCTTTCATGTGCTTGTAAAAATCGAAGCATTGCAGTAAGCCATAAATCTTGCACGTTCTCTGAGTGATCCTCATTCCGGCCAACTGACCCAAACACATGTGTTCTAGTAGTTAGTTCACGAGTGAACTCTTTGCTTTTCTAGAAAAATGTCACTTACAAAATTACTGTTTTGTCTCTTCCTTTGGGAGTTTTATATTGATTTTTTCTTGTCATTTTGCATTACCTAGAAAATGTTTTTAAGAGGTAGTGGCCACAGCATGTATTTGCTGCTTTTTCACCGTTAGATGTTATTTTTGTGGGCAGGAATGCTTTCATTCCTAGATTTCAGAGAACGTTTAGGAGCGTTGAGATTGGTGATATGCTTTTCTGCTCCCTTCGAGATATGCCCTCCCCCCCCCACCCTCTCCCCCCCACACACACATTTCATCTGTAACTACAATAACGTACCAATCGGTGCATTTTCAGTGGTTGAACCACTTTGGCTTTGAATCAACGCCATCTGGTCATGAATGTGCTTATTTTAAAGATGACAAAGCCAAACCCTGGCCACCTGAGGCGATGTTAAAGGCAGAACTAGGAGGAGAGCCTGACGTACACATACTGACGAGATTTTCTTGATCACCAGAAAACGCTATGAGTAGAGCAGTCTGGGGAGTATATATTTTCCACTGTATGCCGTTAGCATAACTCTGAAATCAAAAAATCCAACACACACGGGCAAAAGAAAAACAAATCTTATTTTTGGACACACATGAAAAATGTGGTCCCGTGTAAGAAGATTGGCAAATTTTGTTATTTATAAAATAAGCACATTTATGCTAGGGACTTCCTTCACTTACTACTTAGGCAGCTCTCTAAGGGCCAGTTCCTTTCCCCGAAGAATGATTTAGGAATGTGTTTAACTTCCAGAAGTAGTCAGTTCCTGCAGATGTTTCTAGTGAATGTGGCACCTGGTTAATTATACTCTGGAAACCCTCTCCGTCTTACACCTGTGCTCCTGGAGTCAAGGAGGCACAGCATCACCTGCTAAGATGGCACCTTGTAAAGCCCTTGGTTTTACTCAGATATTTTTGAAGTTCAGCGTGTAAATAACCCCCTTGAGATACAAGTCCTTCCATGAAATACAAGAAACCTCCAAAACATGCAATTAACATTTTATTTTTTTTAGAAAAATCTAACTTGCCACTTGGCAAAGGAAATAAACGCCCCAGGGTTAGAAAGGACTCGAGTTCCGAGAACCCCCGGAAGGGAGGCGGAGATGACGGATGAAATGTTTCAACCTGCGTCAGCAAACAATGCCGTCGGAGGAGAAGTCCCGGGCCCACCCCGAACGCACCCCTTTCACCTTGGAAGGGGGCCCGGACATGAAGCACAATTTTAAACAACAAAACCGGGACGACGAGAGCATTCTATTAAATAACTCTTAGCCATGGCCACAGGACGAACTCTGTAAACACAAAGGAATCTTTTTTTCTAGGATAACGTCGAAAGTCAGTTAGATCTCAAAAGACACTTCACTTGTTCTAAATGACAGGATTGGAAACATTTTTTAAAAATATCATACAGCGGCGTCACTTTAAAAAAAAAAAAAGTCCTTACTTGAGTGGGGACAGTGCCTCCACTTGGTCCCAAATATTCCCTGCTCGTTCCTGTGCCGTCGATGCTGAAGTCACAGCTCGCTCTCCAGCCCTGCCAGGTCCTTCCTCTATGGAGGGCCCGCACCTCCTCTTGGCTCTGTCCGCGGCCCCCCATCCTTGTTCTTCCTCTTAAACAGACTCACCCGCTCCCAGAGCCGCTGCTTTAGGGAAGGCCCGGATGAAACAGGGTTGTTGTCGCCAAGGTCCACGTGGGCAGGAGAGGCTGGCCGTGATGCGTGTGTCCTAGCTGGTCCCTTTCTTCTCCCATTCCTGGGGCACCATTCGAATACCAGCAACCCCAAAACAGGCAAGTTAGCTGTGCTCTGCGGCCACCCCCCACCCCTGTGCACAGACAGTTGGGAAGAGAGGCGGCAGCTGCGTTTCAAACCCTGTGTGGGCACCTCCTTAAGGGGCGTTAGAGGCTGTGGCACTGTAAGGGGTCTGTGGTGTCTGCTACGGCCACACGGGAGCGGCAGCTGCGATGCATGCAGTGGCCATGGGTGCAGGGACGTGGAGTTGGCCGAATGCACGGGCAACTCTGGGCATGGGACACGAGGGAAGGACTGACACACTGTGTCTGGCCATCAGGGGAAAGCCCGGGATGAGCAGACACCTCCCAGGCCTCTGACACCTGGTGGCTGGAGGCCTTAGGCTGGTCGGCAAACTCCTTAGCCAACAGAGCCAAATAGCAACAGGACAACGATTGAAATTTCTTTGGAGAGCTACATTTTTTTAAGCTTAAACTTCTTCTAACGCCACTTCTTCAACATAGACTCACCCAGGCCGTGGTATTTTGTGGAAGAGCCACACTCAAGGGGCCAAAGAGCCGCATGGGGCCCGGGAGCCACAGTTTGCCGACCACAGCTTTAGGCAAATCACATCAGCCGTCTGGATCTGCTGCGTAAGCTGCCACGGCAGCAGTCCTTTGGCTTTTTGGTTTGAAAACTGGCCACGTGCAGCCTGTCTGTGGCTGATAGGGTGGTTCCTGGCTCTGACTGTCCTCGGGCTGATTGATAAGGTCCATCCTGGGAGGTCAGTGCCCCAGGCTGAGCCCAGGTCTGGCGAAGCCCCTGGAGAGGGCCGGGAGTGACCGCTTACCTTGGCTTTCTGGAGGACGGTGCCTTTGCCCGTGACCATGACGGAGAGAGGTCTGTTCTTGAGCGCCGTGGCAGAGTTGACTGGGGTCGAGTCTGGGGTGGGGGCGGGGGCGGCGGCTTTGGGCTGTGGTGACAACAGAGTGACGCCTGAGCTGGGGGGATAGAGACCTCAGCCCCCCACCGCTCACCCCCACCCCAGTCCGGGCAGCCCTGCCACTCACTCGGGGGCTCACGGCCTCCAGGTGGGAGGTGTCCACGGTGGTGCCCAGCGTCACGGGCCCGGCCTCGGCCTTCTTCAGGTTGTCCTTCACCTCCACGATGCTGAGCTCCAGGTCCACACGCCGCCTCTCCTCCTCTCGGCACTCCTCGTCGATCTCCTTCAGCTTCTGCTCCAGGCTGGCCAGCGCGCCCTTGTCTGGAAAGGGAAGGAGGCTGGCTGCAGGGAGCGGCGTTTCTGCCAGGACCGGGGCGGGGCCTCTCAAGGGCAGGTTGCTAGGAGACGGGTGAGCTGAGGATGATCTGGAAAAGAATCTGGAGCGGTGGTCCTCAACCTTCCTAATGCCGGGACCCCTTTAATACAGTTCCTCATGTTGGGGTGACCCCCCAACCATAAAATTGTTTACGTTGCTACTTCCTAACTGTAAGTTTACTACTGTGAATGAATCCTAAATACCTGTGTTTTCCGATGGTCTCAGGCTCTACAGCAGCGGTTCTCAACCTGTGGGTCGCTGCTGTAGAGCCTAAGACCATCGGAAAACACAGATATTTACGTTACGAATCATTAACAGTAGCAAAACGACAGTTAGGAAGTAGCAGTGAAAACAATTTTATGGGTGGGGGTCACCACAACATGAACTACTATACTTAAGGGTCCAGGCATCAGAAAGGTTGAGAACCACTGATCCAGAGGGACGTGGATTTCTCTGCACGTGTCCTCAGTGTTTGAAGTCTGGAACTTAAGGATGACGCGTATAGTCCGTCCAAGAACGATGACCTGGGATCTCTGTTAAAGGCAGCGCATGGGAAGATGGGCCTGGGTGTGTCCATTTGATTGAAGGGAAAGTAACATGTGTAAGGATGTCTTTTTTGAGCTAGCTTTTAGAACGGCCTCCTGGTCCTATGGACGGTGGGTCAGAGGTGTCTCTCTACCCAGGGCAGCGACCTTCCAGAGAGGATGGTGGGGGCTAACATGCCCCGGGGCAGGGCTGTGGGCCGGCTCGCCCCGAGGGAAGCACCAGCCTCCATGCACCCTGCCGGGCCCTCACCTGTGCATTTCGACAGGGCCTCCCTCAGCTCCCGCTTCTCCTTCCGGAGCTGAGCCAGGTGCCCCCGGATCTCTTCCTTCTTCTTCTCCAGCCTCTGCTTCTCCTCCGTGTACCGCTTCACCTCGGCTTCCGTCCTGTTCTTGCCCAGTTTGATCTCTGCAGACCCGGAGAGGGAGCCCTGTGGTCAGCCAGGCTGGACCCGGAGGTGCGATGGCCAACCCCATCACACAGGCTCAGGGGGGGGAAACGGAAGCTTTGACAGGAGATCAGAGCTGGGCGCCAGGCTGGCCTAGCAGGGCCGGGAGAGGAACTGGGCACCACACCTTCTCCACTGCATGGCCCGGGGGCAACTCCCTCCTCCTCGCTGACCCTCTGTGCCCTCCTAGCAAAGGGAATGGACGGGGCTGACGTCCCTGAGCCATTTCCACGACATGCACCGCGCATCCCGCACAGGTACCTGCAGAGGTCACCCTCAGCCTGTCCTTCGCAGGCGTGCCGGCCCCGGCAGGGGCGACAACCACAGCGTCGGGGCAGCTCAGTGGGAAGGAGAGCTTTTGCTGTTCGGCCTGGATTCTGACCGTGGAGATCCTGGGGGACGGCTCCTCCGGCTCCGGGCTCCCCGGCTGCCCCTGCTTTTGGAGAAAGCGAGCAGCACTCAGCCGGCTGAGGGACCTGGGAAGGGAGGGCCAGCCCACCCGCTGGGGGACAGCCTGTACCTGCAACTCGGGGGACTCTGCGGATGTCACAACGGGGGGCTCCGCTGGGGCGGGGCCCGGGTCTGCAGGGAGGGCGTCGGCCGGAGGGTCCAGGCAGGGCGGTGTGGGGGAGCATCCTCGGGCCTGGGGGCCGCCCGGGCTGTGCAGGAAGGACTTGACCGGCGTGAGGTCCAGGTACATGCGGTCAGGGTCGAGCTCGCTCGGAGCATCCGCGGCTGGGGCGGCTTCCTCTGGGTCCGCCTGCAGGGGAGAGGCGGGCAGCTTTCCCCATGGCTTCCACAGCTGGGGCTGGAGAGGGGGCGCCTGCCCTGTCTCAGAGCCCCTGTTCTTGCTGTGTGGGTGCGCAGGGACCTTCCCCCGGGGACGCCTCTGTGGATGTGGAGTTTTAGAAGGTCAGGATTGAAGCTCTGGATCAGCCAGCCAATCAACAGGTGGGAGCCGAAACCAGTTTGGCTCAGTGGATAGAGCGTCAGCCTGGGGACTGAAAGGTCCCAGGTTCGATTCCAGTCAAGAGCATGTAGGTGTGCAAGAGGGAGCTGATCGATGATTCTCTCTCATCGATGTTTCTAACTCTCTATCCCTCTCTCTTCCTCTCTGTAAAAAATCAATAAAATATTTTTTAAAAAAAGAGGTGGGAGACCTAGAACACAGTAGGAGCTTTCCTGACCTTCATGAAGAGGAGAGAATAATGAATGGTACCGGCCTAGCAGGCGGTTTGGGTTAAATAAGATCTGCTGAAGCAGCCCTTAGCACGGCACAGCCTAATGTCTGACTACGGGAACCTCCTGCCCATGCAGTGATTCCACCTTCACTGTCATGCTGGACCCCAAAGGCTGATGCGGACACGGCTCCCAATCCCAGCAGCACAGCCCGTCCTAGCACTGCCCGGGTGGTCAACCAGACGCGTCCCCATGCCAGGCGGACTGCCCGCCCCAGGACAGAAGACAGCCTGGTTGCGCCTAGATTTCTGCCCTGGAGGCCCTGCAGGTGACTTGGAATCCACTCCTTGTATGGCCAATGGGATCGAGATTTGGTGGCTGGAGGACCGACAGGCCCCTCCACCCTCGCTGGGCCGCCCCGTGTCCTTACTGCAGCCGTCAGCTCGGACATCTCCACGTCGTCATACAGCAGGTCCGGGTGGTCCTGGCCGGGCAGGCCATCAATGTACGTGTTGGGCTCTGAGAACTTCCTCTGCATCAATCTGGAGGACACAGGGCAAGACTCAGAGAGGAGGGTTCAAGCTGGGAGAGGAGGGGGTAAAAGCCACCAGCCTCAGAGTTCATAATGAGACCAGCTCCGGTCTCATGTAGCACTCATTCCTTCAAGGGGAGTCCCTGCCTCTCTCTTGGGCCTTCCTATAGAACTCTGGGTCCCAAGCTTCTCTTCCAGAAAAGCATCCCTTTCCCCCACCCCCTCCTCATGGCATCCTTTTGCCGTCTTCTGATCTCATTTTAGAATCTCCAATAACAACAAAACCCCTTCTCGTTTCACTGTCAACAACCGGAGACTTTCCCCATTTTGTACGTAAGAAAGGGGTTCCGTGTCCTGGCGGCTCCTCAGCCACCCGGCCCAGGAGCCCATGTGCTCGGCTGGAAAGCAGAAGCACCACCTCCGCCCTGCTCATTCCGGGGGGCATTGGGGCCCCGGGTCAACAGCGAGGGAAGCGGAGGGTCAGGGAACATGCCGACTCAGCTGTGAGGACCTGGATGGTCTCTCCCCAGCCCAGGTGCTGCGGCTGCTGGGGTCCAGCCTGGCCCCTGCCCCTGCCCCTGGGTGGAACAGGGCTCACTCCCAATTCTTGGCTACACACCGGTACAACTGGCCACCAGAGGCCAACCTGGGCCTGAGTCGGAAGCACGACTCCAAGGGAAAGGGCACAAAGCAGGAGACCCATCATACTCACAGCAGGGAGTTCCTGGCCGCACTCACGATACAGGACACCCTATCCGCGTCCACGTAGTCGTAGGTGAACTCCTCTGGGTCTGTCTTGGAGCCCGATTCGGAGAGCAGGAGGCCGAGCCAGTGGCCCATCTCCTCGGAAGACTTGGCCTGAGGAATCAATTGGGTAATTAACTGGAGAACATCTCGTAATAGAATTAAGTTCCATGAGCACAGGGATCATATCAGTCTTGGTCACATGTTATCATACGTGTTGACAGGATAGATTTATAAACTTGTCCTCCTTGAGAAGTAACTGAGATGTGGATCTTTTAGCCACAGGAGGTCAGTATTGAAGCAAAAGTCGGATGAAGCCAGGCTAAGGGACTAGGCCAGTGGTCAGCAAACTCATTAAGTCAACAGGGCCAAATATTGACATTTCTTCTGAGAGCCACATTTTTTTTTTTAAACAACTTCGACCGCCACTCCTTCAAAATAGACTCGCCCAGGCCGAGGTATTTTGTGGAAGAGCCACACTCAAGGAGCCACAGAGCCCCATGTGGCTAGGTGAACAGGGGCGAACCGGGCAGCGTGTGCTGCTGTGTGTGTGAAGGAAGAACTCTGGCTGGGACCCGCCGAGCTCACTGCAAGGCATTAGGTCAGCTTTTATTCCTGTCCGTGTGACATCACGTCCCACCGGGTGGGGAGTGGCAGAAAGGCAATTGTATCACCAGCCCAATGCCTGCCCCCAGACAAGCCCTAACAGGCGTCCTGTTTATGGACCGGGCTGCGTCTGGTGCCACACACACTGCACCAAACCCACTGTGAGTCCCCAGAAGGTCCCCCCTGCGGCCCCGGAGTTAGACTCCCCTCCGGCCCCCAGGCCAGGAAGCAGCTCATTGTCCGCTCCTAGAACACAGCCACCCTGAGGTCAGAAAGGAAATGGGAATTTTTTTTGGGAAAAAAATGCAAACAATCTCACGCAAAGGAAACCAAAACCACCCAGGACTACGTGGCTCTCCGTGGCTTGCAGCACAGAGCCAACCCCCACCCCGTCCCGGGGCCAGCAGTACCTCGAGCTTGGCCAGCTCCTCGCCATTGTGGAGGATGCGGAAGGAGTACAGGTGGTCCGGGCTCGGGTCCGGGACCACCTCGCAGCCCACGAGGCTCAGGGGCTGCTGGGCCACCTTGCTGCGGTTGCGGTCCTGGTAGAAGTGCAGGTGGCTATCCCGCACGGAGCACCAGCGTGACTTCCACTGGCTGTTCACCAACACGTTCAGGTAATCTGCAGGAGAGGCAGCGGTGGCTGCGGGAAGCTGGGGGTGGCTGCCCCCTCCTCCGGGCCTCCCAGGGTTTCCCCCCAGAATCTCAGCTCCAAGACTCATCAGGCAATGCCTGAGCATCTCTCATAACTCCCAGAGGCTGGGAGTCTCTTCAGTGTGTGCTCCTTCCCTCCTGCATGCTAGCAGCGAGTCCCTTTCAAGGCAAGCAGCGTAGTGCTGCCGGCTTTTGAAAAAGGCGTGTCCAGAGGGAAGGGAGCTGCACCTGGGACCACACTAGGTCCAGCCCAAGCGCTGAGGCTGAGCCCTGGGGAGGAGAGCGCCTGTGTTCTCTCCCTTCCCCAGCCACGGGGGACAGGGGCAGGTTTTGCGGCTGAACAACTTCCAGCAGTGACCCCACCACATCTCCCAAAATGGCTCACGGGGACCAGGCTCCTGGGCCCCACACTGTGGCCTGAGGCCTCAGGGTGCCCTGGCAGGAGATGCGGCAGGCTCCACAGGTGAGGCCCCTCTGCTGCCTCCCCATTCCACCTCGGCCACCCGGCCAGCCTCAGACACAGACAAAGTGGGCCTGGGGCTGGGACACGGGCCCGAAGATGGACACGGATGGCCTTCAGGGCCCGGGAGACCTACAGCAATGAGCCCGGGTGGGTCACCAGCACGAGGCTCACTGAAGATACATTCTGGGAAAGGTCTCTCTTTCTCCCCTGACCTGTTTCCGCTGGCTGAGAACGGGCAGTGGAGATGAGTCCTCTAAGAGTCTACCGGCTCCCATATACGCCTCTGTCCCAGCAACATGGGCTCTGGCCGGCCCGGCCCCTGAATGCGTCTCACCAGGCTGCGCCTCCATCTTGGCTCCCACCCCGGGCACCTCCGAGCCTACGTAGCTCCTGCCCGTTCATCTCTGCCCAGAGCGGGAAAGGTTCTTTCTGTCCCTGAGTCCTGGTCGCTGCTCAGCCAGCAGCTATGTAGGGTGGGGGCAAAGCTGTCCTCTCTCTCAAGCTATAAGCTCTCAGGACTGTGTCCTCCATCCGCTTGGTTCCCTTTCCTTAATACTGCACCTGCCCAGCTCCTTAAGTACTGATCAAACCATTAGGGGGACAGCAATCCGTTACGCTTCACTTCTACAGAAGACCCAGCACTGCAGCGAGAGTCTTGTCTAGATAAGAAGAAGAACTGCCTGCAGAGCAGACAGACAGGAGCTGGGCCGCGGCTGCCCATCCCTAAGACACGTTTGAAGCGAGACCTACACCCCCTGCCTCTGCCATCTGAACTGCCTTCCAGGAGACGGGCTGCAGCCTGGCGGGGGGTGGGGGATGGGGTGGGGTGGGGCAGCCCTGCTGCGCGGGAGGCGGCGGCGCTGCTTACTGGCTGTCTCCAGGGACCTGTCTGCCGGCTCCAGCGAGGTGGACTTCTTCCTGCCCAGGTTCATCAGGCTGCTCAGCCTGAGGCCCGCAGAACACTTCTTCTTCACTGTCCGGAGGGGAGAGAAAGCCGTCAGCATCGCACACGGCGGAGTCCCAGGCCCTAGAGCAGGTAGGAGAAACAGAAGACCCTCCCCACCACACCCGCCCCTCCCTGCACACGTGTGTGCACACATGCGCACACCTACAGACCCCTGCTCCCCACACCAAGGCCCACAGCCCAGAGCCAGGTGGCTGGAGACCGGCACACTCAAGAGGGGCACCCCAGCTTCTCTCATGGAATGAGTCAGCACCCGGGAATCTGCAGACGCCGTGAGCTCAAAGACCCTTAGAACGGGGTGACCCACAAGAGGATGAGAGAACATTCTACCCCCAGCAGGTCATGAAACTTCAATGTAGCCTTTCCCCGGATCTGTCAGCTGCAGTACTTCCGAGCAGATTATACAGGGCAGGCGTGTTGGAAGCAGCCGGTAAAGCGCATTAGGGTTGAGCCACACAGCCTGGGGGCCACCCCCTCCCCACCCTGGGCTGAAAGCCGCAAGCATGGGTACCATCTTTGGTCTCCGGGACCTCAGGGTGGCCATCCACAGAGCTCCCACACTCCGAGGCGGACAGGTACTTCTCAGCTATATCTGCCTGGGGAGGGAAGAGAGACACGTGGGCATCCTGTCCGGGCGTGGTTACCTCAGAGACCGCAGTTTAAGAGAAAACAATACTCTCAGATGTCGGCTGGGGGTCACCCTGGAGGCCAGGCCTCTGGTGAGGCACTGGCTGGGCTGCCCTCTGGGTTACCTGCCCTCACCCTCCCTCCCTGAGATGCCCTGTCCCGGCCCAGAGCAACTGTCCCTTGTTCACATGGCTGCTCGCCCTGACATGACAGTGACCCTGGGGTGGGGGGAGTAGGTGGCATTACAGTGGGTGTCCCCAGCTGAAGCTGATGTCAAGCTGGGAACCACCAGGAGCGTGAGAAAGGGGAGAACTGACTGCTACCAACACACCAGGCTCTGGAGGAGAGCCAGCATGCCTGCACGAGCCAGAGCATGATCTGAATCCCACTGGTGCATCTCCAGCTGGAGGGGGGGGGGGAGAGGGGAGGGGCGCCCTGGGAGCCCACTACACATGTAAAACAGAGATGGCACCCCACTAGGCATTCCGGGGCTGCTGGGGAGCTAGAGGCCGTCCCTACAGGAGTGGTGTGGCTGCTGCTGTTAGAATGGGAAGCATCTTGCTTGGTCGGCATGGCTTAGTGGTTGAGCGTTGACTGCTGAAGCAGGAGGTCACAGTTCAATTCCCAGTCAGGGCGCATGCCCAGGTTGTGGGCTCAATCCCCAGTGGTGTGTGTGTGTGTGTGTGTGTGTGTGTGTGTGTGTGTGTGCAGGAGGCAGCAGCCAAACAATGATTCTCGTCATTGATGCTTCTATCTCTCCTTCTCCCTTCCTCTCTGAAATCAATAAAATATACTTTTAAAAAGAAGAAAAAAAGGGAAGTAGCTCATTAGATCATTCCAATGAAGCTTCTTCTAGAACCGCTTCCTCCAAACTCTGCAAAATAAACCCTGGTTCTCCCAGCCTCAGGGCCGGACCAGGGTGGATGCACGGCCCAGGGGACTCTGCGGTCTTTAGGGACTGAGCTCACTTCTCACCCCAACTCGAAGAACACCTGTGCCTACTTTTAATTCTTGTCCATGACCAAGGAACGAGAGACAACCGACAGCTCTTCCCTCCGAAGGGCCCGTGCCTCCGCCCTGCTCCAGGCCTCGACTTCCCTCTCGTTCAGGGGTGGGGTCCCCACGATGAGACCCAGGCAGCCTCTGCCTGCGCCGTGCACGCCTAGGCTGCGGGGCGCCTTCCTGCACGTACTCAGGGCCATGCAATGTCACCCCCGGGGGAGGCCTCCCCGTTGGTCAGCAACCAGCGCAACTTCCTCGACTCTGACCCTCCAGCGGGAGCTCCGCAGCTCCATGCACATGAGCTCCAGGGCCCGGACCTCTGCTGGGGGGTCAGCGGGGAGAAAGAGCTTCGAGAGACAAGCCGAGCTGCTGAGGAGGGGTGAGCAGAGCGCCTCTGTCCCAGCAGAGCTCCCCACCTGCTCACCAGTGAAGCAAGAGAGTAGTTTAGGGCGGTCCACATGGCCAGTTTCCCGGCCACGCTGAAGCCACAGCCCGTAGCCAGGCCTTGTTCATTAGGCTGAATGTGGAAACAAAGTTTCCCGTTTTATCCTTTTGATTTTTACGGAGATAAAGGGAATGGAGTTCTTACCTTCTGACCGCTCAGGCGCTGGGCCTCAGGGGAGTACTGGTTTCCCTCAGCCGCGCCGTCCGAAGGCAGGCCGCTCACCTCCTGGATGACCTGAGGGAGAGGCAGCCCTCAGCCGAGGCACGGGCCCCCCCAAGTCCTCCTGGCCCACCCTGAGCTCACAGATGGAAGCCGGAGCCCCTCGAGGTCAGGAGAGAGTGGGTCCAGGGGAGGGAGAAGATGCATGATGTCCCCAGGACACGGAAGCACCCCACTCCCAGCACCTGGCCCACAGGGGCTGCAATTCGGGGCCACGTCGAGGTAAGTGCAGGCAGAACGCAGGATCGTGGTCAGAGAGTTGTAGGTTTTTAGCCAGATGCTGTCACTAATCTGCCAGGTGACCTCCCTCAGCCCTAACCTCCATTCCAACCTGGGGCCACTAGCATGGCCTGGCCCCCTGCCATGCGGTTAAACCTGTTACGGGTGCACGGCCCCTGGCACGTACTACAAATGGCAGCTGCATCGGTTCTTTGCTAAGGAGGCTGGCGATGCCTCCCTGGGGGATTTCGACCAGAGCACAATCCGGGTGGCCCAGAAGGATGTCCGCCTCGCAGCCGAGACTGCGACCCACGTCCCTTTAGACGGATGGCGGCCACTCCGCACGCAGGGGACTGTGGGAGCTGGGTCACAGACCCGCTACCCCGGACAGCACCCATCCTGGTGGGGAAACACCGGAGAGCCAGACCGGCAGGGCCCTCACCCTGAGCCACTGCTCCGCCTGGTCCTTGCTCTGCAGGCCCAGCACGATGACGTCAGCGTTCATCGGCGTGATCTTCAGCTTGTGCTCCTTCTTCCGCACCTGCTTCTCCTTGTGGACCACGCTGCTGCCCAGCAGGCTCACGTCCAGCTGCGGGCTGTGGTCCTTGGAGGACTTGTAGCACTGGGAGGAGAGAGACAAGGTGCTGCTTGCCAGGGGGCCAGGCCTCGCCGGGGTCTGCAGAGAAGGGGCCGCCGGGCATGGCAGGACGCACGGACACCCGGGTTCTGCCCAGTAAAGCCGAAGGGCCAGGTACCCTAGCCGGCAGTGGTCGGCAAACAGCGGCTCTCAAGCCACATGCGGCTCTTTGGCCCCGTGAGTGTGGCTCTGCCACAAAATACCCCGGCCTGGGCGAGTCTATGTTGAAGAACACTCTGACAGGGCAGCAGGCCCCACCCACAACCCCCAGAGGCCCGGATGGCAGGAAGGATGGGCCCTCGGAAAAGGTCCCTGGGAAAAATGGGGAGGAGGGAGGATGGGATGTGGGTGGTCTATCTTAGTCCCCCTTCGAGAGTTTGATGGAAACCGTTAGACCTTCTAGTTCAGAAAAAGTACATTCTTAGAAGCCTGATCAGATCCAGGTGTAATTATTTGGGGGGCAGTAATAAAGCATAAAAACCAAATTAAAAAAAAAAAAAAAAGAGCATGGCCCAGTGGTTCAACTTCATCCTATGAACCAGGAGGTCACAGTTTGATTCCCGGTCAGGGCACATGGGGCGTGCAGGGGGCAGCCGATCGACGATTCTCTCTCATCATTGATGTTTCTCTCTCCTTCTTCCTCTCTGATAACAATAAAAATATGTTTTAAAAACAAACATTCATGCACGCATGCCACGTTCTACATGCAATTTCAGGTTAGGGAGAGGTAAACATCTGGCAGAAAGGGTTCTGACCCACCTGGTATTAGCACACCCCCCCCCCCAACCCCCAAAGAGAGAGACCCGAACGAGACCCAAGCCCACTGACCAGGAGCCTGGTGTCCCGGATGACGCAGAGCTGCTTGGCCCACTGGCCCAGCCACTTCTTGCGCCAGAGGAAGGCGCAGATGCGGGCGTCTCGCATCAGCTCGATGCTGGCCTCCGGGGAGGGCCACTGGTGTGGGGCCGACTTGCCCTTGCTGCCTTCCTCCTCGTCGTAGGACTCGTAGGAGCTGCTCACGGCCTCTCCGTCCTCTGCAAGGCACACCCACCAGGTCACATCCCCGAGTCCCCGCCACCGGGCAGGGCAGGGGGTGCTCAAACATGCCGGTCTGTTCAGGAGGGAGGGAAGCAGGCAGCAGGGGGGAGCAGCCACTGGCCCCAACCCTCTCGCCGCTCCTCTGCCCTTGAACCAACCGCCCGAGGCTGCCAACCACAGACCAAGCGGTGTCCCGTCCCAATCCCACTGAGCAAAGCGGCTTGGCTGCTGCCTCTGGCCTCATATACAAATGGCTTACAGCCAGAAGCCTTTCCCTCTTCCCCCTCGCATCCTGCCATCTCAGACTCCGGAGAAACCTGACGGGGCACGGCCCTCAGATGGGCCCCTGTCTGTGGAGACGGCCAGTGCCCCACTCAGGACCTCTGTCCCTTCATCTGTGGGCTGGGGGCCTGCCTGACCCGCACTCTGTCATCTAAGTGCCCGGGAGGGAGGGGTCGCCATCGGAGCCAAGAGCCGGGCACATGGCAAGCCTCTGACCGCTGCCTGCCCCGTCCCTGGTTCTATTCCAGGGGCAGGGGGGCGATATGGCTTATGGGGAAAGAAAAGGCAGAATAAAGCGTGGCAGGCGATGCTTTCTGGGGAAGGGCCCATCTAGCCATTCCTCAGTGCCCCCTCCTAATCATAACCTTTAAAAAATAAAACCCATCCTCACCCTCCATGGACCGAATTCTCGTTCCCTGCCACTGAACACTGCCCGGCACAAGCATTGCTCCTCCTACTTATCCCAGCTCATCCACCCCCCCCACCCCCCCCCCCCCCCGTCAATGAGCCAACCTCACATCTTCCTCCTGTTCGAGAGGATCCCAAACCCATCAAACGCAAACTGGACCCAAACCTAGGCATACCCCGCACCCCTCCGCTGCTGCCCCCACACTCTGCAAAATTCGCTCTCTTCTCCCAGCCTCGCTCGCTGTGCTATTCTAGGCCAACGAAAGCTAGGTGAAGTAAATAAATCAATCAGGAACACCCCCCCCAAAAAAAAACAAAACAAAAAACAAAACACGGAGACCACCAGGATCCCTGGCCCAGTCCCTAGCTCACCACGGGAATCCTATTGCAACCCTGACGCTGCTCCAGCCTCTGCTTGAATTCCCCAGTGGACAGGGAGCTCACTACCTTACAATTGCTTCCACTGCCGAGCAGCTCTAACAGAAGCGGGCCCCTCGACTCCTTTCCTTCCCCGTGACGGCTACAGACATGCTCTGTGTCCTTGAGTCAGGATGGGGGAGCCTCCTTCCCATGAGAGACACCTCGTGGGCCCCTCGTCTCCCATCCCCCAGGAACCCCCCTATTATCTGCACAGCCAGGCTCCTGCACACCAAGAACACAGACCGCATTTAAATTTTATTAGAGGAAACTGAATGAGCCCACCGCCATACCATCGTTATTCTGGCCACAATACCCATGAACATGTGCTTTTGGTTATGTTACTCTTTCTAAAAAATAACACTCTAAGTATTTTCCTATCAGTCTTCTTTAAAAGCAATGTGGTAGCCGAAACCAGTTTGGCTCCATGGATAGGCCTACGGACTGAAGGGTCCCAGGTTTGATTCCGGTCAAGGGCATGGACCTTGGTTGCAGGCACATCCCCGGTGGGGGTTGTGCAAGAGGCAGCTGGTTGATGTTTCTCTCTCACTGATGTTTCTAACTCTCATCTCTCCAACTCTCCCTTCCTCTCTGTAAAAAAAATCAATAAAATATATTTAAAAATAAAAAATAAAAGCAGCGTGGTACTGCTCCCCTCCGTGGCCTAACACAGATGCTGCACAGTTCGTGGTTTTACACCTGTTAACAGTAAGGATTGAAAACAGGGTCGGTGGGGGACCCTAACCTCGTCTCTGGCCAGTGGAAACGTCCATCAACCCAAGCCTCTCAGAGGACAGCCTGTCAGCCTGTTGTTTCAAGAGCCATAAAAACACCCACACCCTCTGACCCAGAATTCCCGGTCCTGGGAGCTCATCCTATAGGAAGCTAGTTGTTTTATGTTTGTTTTTTTTTAAAGGAAGGAAGGTGGGAGGTTACATGCATTAAGATATCCATTCAAGCCATTTCACAGTCAGGAGGAGAAGGGGAAGTCTGATTTCACCCACTTAGGAGCATGCGTGCACGTGCAGTCGATGAAAACGACAGGCTGTTCTGCAACTTGATAAACTCGGGGACTGCGACAGCAGGAGAAAGCACGCTCACAGTGTACGTGCAAACAGGTCAGCACTGATGGCAACGGGGGATTCACAGTTGCCATCAGTTGGCTGGACCTGCTGGTAGGAGGAGGGGGGGTGTGTTTTGAAAAAGCCCTCCTTGTCAGCGTTGCCATAAGTGATGTAAGAAGAACCCCGTGAGGTCACTGGACACTCCCGCGGTCACAAGAACCCAGGCGGGGGGCTGCGGAGTTCAGTGTGAAGAAACTGGCCGAGTTCCCCGGCTGTTCTGTGTTTTGGGGGGCTGCCCCCCACATGTTCCAGGGAGAAATCTACCACCTGTCCGTCCACCTTTGGGGATGGGGGCGGGGGGGGGAGGGACAGGGAAGCGAATTGAGAAAAAAATGTATCATTTGTACCTCCAGCTCCCTGGAGCAGCTCGGAGGAAGTTTAGGGCGAATGTATTCTTTTATTTCCTCTTAACCTAGGCCAGTGGTCGGCAGACCGTGGCTCGAGAGCCACATACGGCTCTTTGGCCTCTTGAGCATGGCTCTTCCACAAAATACCATGTGTGGGTGCTCAGGTACAGTGCGACTGATTGAAACTTCGTGGCCCACGCGCAGAAGTCAGTTTTCGGCCTGGGCGAGTCTATTTTAAAGAAGTGGTTCTAATGCCGAGCCACCCTCAAGGGGCCCAAGAGCCACATGTGGCTCTCGAGCCGCGGTTTGCCGACCACTGCCCTTAAGGGCCATCCCAGCCCACCATAAACACAGGCTATTTTAGCTTCCAGGGTCCCCCGGGGGAATTATTTGGGTGACCAGGCGGCAGGCAGGATGATCAGATAACCCCATCCCCGTTCATGCTGGCTGCCCCCACTGTCCCTGTAACCTGTCCGTGGGGAGAGGGCAGAACAACCAAGAATCGCCGAGTCCCCCGGCCACACGGACGATGCCACAGACAGGGGTCTGTGGAAGGGTGGCACCTGGCATGCAGGACCCACGCGGGAGGACAGGGACAGAGCAGGGGCCAGGCCAGGGGCATGCACCCCGCCTCTGAGCGCCAGGCAGCAGGCATGGGGTCGCTGGCATCCCAGCTCTGGGGACAAGCAGTACCCAAGGTGATGGTGGCGTAAATGACTCCTTCGGGCACCCGCGCCCACCTGGGGACTCCGGTGGAGGGGACTCTGCCGCAATGACCTGTGTGATGGCCAGAAGCACAGTCAAGGGCGAGATGGAGAGAGACAAGGTGAAGAGAAGGACAGACCGTGTGCAAACACTGAGAGAGACCCGGGTGAGGCTCTGTGGCTCCCTGCCCGGCCACGGACTTCATTTCCCAGCCCCTCACATCCACAGGTGGCTTGTCACTGGTGTGGGGCGTGGGCAGAAGCTGGGAGGCGCACTGGGGTTTCCCACGCTCTCTCTGCAGAGGACGCTGTGGCCTCAGAGGCGGCCGAGCCCACCCTGGAAGGAGCCGGGGAGCCCACACCACCTGCCTGCCGACCGGCGATGCCACACTGACCTGTCCGTGGGCAAGAGCAGATCGGTGCTGTGTTAGCGAAAGGGGGTGCCGTGTTACAGCAGCTGTTCTTACCCCACCAGGAGGCAGCGTCAGTAATGGGGCGGGTGTCTCGGGCAAGCAGGACAGACAGGACTGTCCCCTGCACGGGCCACCGGCATGAAAGGAAGTGTTGCTGGGAGAGGGGAAGCTGACCCCGGGGGGCAGGGTGGGGACAGCGCTGAGAGAGCCGGACACACTGGTCTTTGCAGGAAGTCAGCGACATCTCTCGCTGTTGGCCAATGAACTAGAGCCGTGGTTCTCAATCTTCCTAACACGGCGACCCTTTGATACAGTTCCCCGTGTGGTGGTGACCCCCAACCATAACATTATTTGCTACTTCATAACTGACATTTTGCTACTGTTAATGAATCATAATGTAAATACCTGTGTTTTCTGACGGTCTTGGGCTCTCAACCTGCCTCAACCCACAGGGTGAGAACCGCTAGGGTCACCTAAGACCATCGGAAAACACAGGTTACAGTTAGGACGTAGCAATGAAAATAATTTTATGGTTGGGGGTCACCACCACATGAGGAGCTGTATTCAAGGGTCGCGGCATCAGAAAGGTTGAGGACCACTGAACTAGAGCGGAGGGCCAAGGTCCTGGCCCTTCTCCCTGCTGTGACCTGCGTGTCCACCGCTCACACGGGTGTGGGGACCGCGGCCAGGAACCGACAGCAGGCTGGGTATGTCCCAGGGGGCACCCCCTCTGCCAGGCAAGAGAGGCCAGTTCTGCCCACGTCGCCCTCGGCCCTTGTCCTGGCAGGAGAGGAAGGCAAGCTGGCCTCTTCCCAACCCTCCCGCTGCCCGTGGGATGACTACCCCTCCCCCAGCCCCCCGCTTTGCTAAAACCAATATGAACTCATCGCCCAGAGACAGACACCAAGAAACTCAGATCCTCTGACCACTTGTCTGTGTGGAGATGCAGTGTCTGCGCCGCAGACAGGCCCCTGGGCGTTGGGAGGCAGGCCCCGGCCGGCAGGGGCCACACCCAGGAGAGCACCCCAGGCTTCAGACACCACGGAGGTGAGGTGCCCACCGCGGTGAGTCACTTCCCCCTCCTCCTCCTCCTCCTCCTCCTCCTCCTCCTCCTCCTCCTCCTCCTCCTCCTCCTCCTCCTCCCAGATGCAGCCCGACGGGAGCCACACGCCCACAGCTTGGGGCTGAAATCACAGCTCGGCCCGTGGCTCCAAAGAATCTCACATGCTCAGAGGGTCTGCCCACCATGCCGGCCTCTCAGAGGAAAAGAACTTCAGACCAAGCACACAGTGCCTGGGCCGAGGGCAGCGGGGGAGCGTGAAGACAGAGCCTCCGGCCCAGCTCCGAGGGCCTGCCAGTCTCATCCCAGGCCCTTCTCTGTGGGGCCAACAGCGCCCCCTGCAGTCCATTCCCACAACCAGGGCCCTCTTTTCTGACACCTGCAAACTGCTTTATGCTCTCAAAGGCTGTCGCTCACAAGGGAAGGGAGTACGAAGGAGACAGTGAGAGGACCCGAGTCCAGCTGCCCGGAAGAGAAGGCCACAACCCTCTCTTCCTTCTGGAACCTCGGGGCCTGTGTTCAAGAACTCCTACATGGCCCGGCCGGCGTGGCTCAGTGGTTGAGTGTCCACCTATGAACCTGGAGGGCACGGTTCGATTCCTGGCCAGGGCCCATGCCCGGGTGGCAGGCTCGATCCCCAGTGGGGGGCGTGCAGGAGGCAGCCGATCGAGGATTCTTTCTCATCACTGATGTTTCTGTCTCTCCCCGTCCCTTCCTTTCTGAAATTTATATATATATATATATATATATATATATATATAGATATATATATATATATATATTTTTTTTTTTTTTTTTTTTAAAGAATTCCTACACCAAGAGACGGAGAACCTACAGGCTGTGACTTCCTGACTCCCAACACGCCTCTCTTCCAACACATTTCTGTGCTGGAACCCGGCACAGCCATGTGAGAACACCCAAAGTGCCGGGCCCCTGCACCAGCTCGCTGTGGGCCATCCTGACCCTCCTGGCAGGCGGCGGGGTCTGCTGCAGGTCTCAGCTCCCCACCTGAGCAGAGGCTCAATGTCTGGCCAATTCTCAGCTTCAGCCATGCCCGCTGGTAAGAGCAGCCCGGGTGTCCTCGCTGCCAGCACCCATCTGTGCAGGAAGCGATTTACGCCCACCCATGTCCCAGCCCGGGCCCCGGCCCCGGGACGTACCATTGAGGGACACGTCGTATGGCTCAGCCTCTTCATAGTAACCCTCTGGAGACTCGATCTTTGGGATGGAGGGCTGTTTCCGTTCTGGAATCTGTGGGATGAACAAATAAAACATTTTTCAGGTACGATACTCTGGCAACAACGCAGAATTAACCCTTTGGGTGGAAAGAGGGGGAGCCCAGAAGAGAAAATGGTCAGTTGGATGTCAAGCAAGTTGGGAGGGAGGCCTCGGACTGCCGGGACCCCAGCACTGCCTCCGGTGAGGGCTGTGGGCACATTGCTTTACCCTGCCGAGACCAGCTCTTCCTCCTCAAGGTGAGGCTCAGACCCCCACCACACACACCAACTATCCTTGCACACGTGCCACCCGATTCGCAAAGACCAGAAGATGTCAGGCTGTTGTGGTAGCTAATAGGATATACTTTCAAAAAAGACAAGGTCTGCCTGGCCAGTGTTGCTTGTGGTTGAACATTGACCTACGAACCAGGAGGTAGCCAGTTCGATTCCCGGTCAGGGCACATGCCTGGGTTGCAAGCTCCATCCCCAGTGTGGGGGTGTGCAGGAGGCAGCCTGTCCATGATTCTCTCTCATCATTGATGTGTCTCTCTCTCTCTCTCTCTCTCTCTCTCTCTCTCTCTCCAAAGTCAATAAAAACATTAAAAACCAAAAATAAGACAAGGACTAATCACAGGTCCATGGAGGAAAATGACCAGGTTCCTAAGGACTTAGAAACTTTTACCATAACACGTTCAATCCCTCATTCAGCACATACCGGATGGCTTCCGCATATTAGCTGCGCAGGACACACTGCTGTGCTCAAGACAGACCTAACTAGACAGGGAGCGTTCACAGTTCTGGATCAAGTGCATCGTGAACAGTGCTGTAACAGACAAGGTCCGGGTTTGGTGGGAACCAGGAGGGTGGGGGGAACATTTAGGACCAAGGAAGGATGCCCGGGGGACAGGACCTTGGAGCTGCGTCTCAAAAACAACCCCGAGGTTCGTATGCGGCATTGGGGTGGAGCACACACAACTGGAAAGAGAGCCACCTCATTGCACTGACACGATGGCCCCCATCAGAGGGCAAAGGAGCAAGAGAGCCTAGTGTCCTGGGGTTAGGGATAAAGAACTATTCTTCATCATCATCATCATCATCATGAAGATCACGAACATGGAGTGAAGATGCAGAAGAGATGTGGGTCACAGGAAGGCCACCGGGCTCCGCAGCATTTGCCAGAGGTCGCAGACTTTTTCGGTAACGAGCCAAACAGGAAGCACTTCCGGGGTTTGCAGGTCTCTGATCTCAGCCCGCCAAGCCAGCTGATGCGGTGCCAGAGCACCCACAGAGGATGTCAAGCTCAGTGAGGGTGGCTGCGCTCCGGGAAAACGTATGACGGAAAAGCGGGCGGCTGTGGATTTGGCCAATTCTGATAGAGATCATGGCTGATGCTGATGGCCTGGGATGGCCCGGATGGCCTGGGGTGGCCCTGCACTTCCGAGCAACCTGCCCCAGAGAGCATGGGGGGGAGGTTCGGGGCGGGGGACAGGGGGAGGTCTGGTGCACCGGCCAGGCCCAGCTCCTAGGCTGGTGGCGGTGATGACCATTACACAGTTGCCGCCCACCCAGAGCAGCTCACTTAAAACCAAGGGATGCGAGTTCGGGCCTCGGGAGGGAGGTGGGTGGAGGTGTCAGCGCACATCTGCTTCTCCCGCAGCAACCACAGCCCCTGGCGGTGCAGCCGGTGGCCTGAAGTGCCACAGCGGCCTGAGTCACCGGCCACACCCACGAGGTTGCTCTGGACCCTGGTTGACCGTTCCATCGCCTCTGTCCCGGGTCTGCTGTGCACTGACTCTGGGATGGGGAATGGAGGGGGAACCGGCCGCCGGAGAGAGAATCAGGACATCCTGAGCCCGGGACAGAGGCCATCCTCCTGGCCCGGCCACAGGCACGGGGCACCCCAAAGCCCGGGCAGACTCCAGCTTCTACCACAGCCACTTGCAAGCCTGGGCCGGACAAGCCACCGCGGCTCCCTGAGGCCTTGGGGTCAGGGTGGGAAGGGCGAGGCTTTCTCTGTCTGAAGAAGAGGGGTCCGGGGTCACTCCAAGCTCATGCTCCCAAACTACTGCTGCTGCTCAAGTCCTCCCCCCCCCTCCTCCCCCTTCTTTCTCCTCTTTCCTCCTCTCCTCCTCCTTCACCTCTAACCCCTTCCTTCTTCTATTTGTCCTCCTCCTCCTTCCCTTACTCCTCCCCCCTCTCCTCCTCCTTCACCTCTAACCCCTTCCTTCTTCTATTTGTCCTTCCCCGCCCCCTCCTTCTCCTCCTCCCTCAGAGCCACAGCTGCTCCCCACTCTGCCCTGACGCCATTCCTCTGGGGGCCTCAGAGTAAGAGTTATGGCTCCTTGAGCCAGACCTGACAGAGAGGCAGCCTGAGGGAGAGCAGGCGTGTGCGTGTGCGTGAGTGCAGGGCGGGGTAAGCACCCCGACTCCGCTGGTCACCCCCTTTCTCACGGGACACCCAGCAGCTCCCGGGGGTGGGGTGGGGGCCCAGGACAGACCTGGGGGAGACCAGCACCCCTTGTCCTTCTCAGCAGAGAAATTCCACGAGGAGGGAGGACCGTGGGCCAGCTGCCCGCTGGACGTCTCCCCGGGGCCGGGAGCGTGTCCGCTGGAGCCGTTCCCGCCGTCCGAGGGCCACCGACGGCGTTCTTCTTGTGTGGCGGTATCGCCCCGACCCCGAAGCCACGTTTCTCTCCGGCACCGACAGAGCCTCCCCCGGGCCCCTGCGGCCCTGCCTGGCTCCCGGGCCCTGCCTCTCACACCCCAGAGCACAGGTGTCAAACACAAGGCCCTCGGGCCAAATCCGTCCCGCCAGGCCTTGCAATGTGGCCCGCACCGCGCTGCCATCACTGCACTCCGCTGCGTTTCCATCACAATGACAGTTTATGACTGTTCAGTAAACCATTCGGCCCGCGATTTAGGCTGGATTTTAGATTTTGGCCCCTTCTCTGATTGAGTTCGACACCCCTACCCCAGAGCCCCAGGCGACAGGAGGAAGAGCTAAAGTCCGCGCCAGAGCCTCCGGGCCAGGGTCCGACTGGTTTATAGCTCCATGTCCATGGCGTCGCACAGCTTCCTGCTGGTGCTGACCTCCCGGAACCCCTGCTCCATGGGCATCGTCTCCCCTCATCCCTGGGGAAGCCTCCCCAGCCAGACCCTCCAGAGGAAAGAGCCCCGCTTCTTCTGAGCTTCGGCTCTGCCACGTGGAGGCCGTGTGACATCCAGGCCGCAGACACCTGCTGGTTCCCCGCTCCTCAGCCATGAAGTGTCAGCACTACCACGTCCCTCCCCAGATTCTAACGCAGGATGCCGCACCACCTCAGGCCGCGGAGGAAGACAACCTCATGAAGAGAGGTGTCCACGTTCTGTTCATTTCAACACCAGGAAATAAGCGCCAGAGACCTTATAACTTGCTCAAGGTCAAAGCGCTAGTCCCTGGCTGAGCTGGGGCCTGAACCCAGGCCTATGGTTCCATAAATCCACCCATCACCCATCACCCATCATCCTTCCTTCCATCCATCCATCCATCCATCCACCATCCATCCAATGTGTGTGGCTCACTGTGTGCAGACACGGGACATGAAACGACTGAGCAGGACACAGGCCCTGTGCCAGGAGCTTGTATCTAGCAGGAGAAGCACATTTTAAGGTGGCAGTGCCGAGGAGGCGGTAAGTGGACAGTGGGACAGACAGTAGCTGGGGCGGGACGGTTGTGGGATGCCCGAGGTCAGCAGGCCAGCGGAAGTCGGTCTGAGAATGTCTGAGGTGAGGAGGCAGCCGCCATCGAAGAGCCAGGCGAGGAGGTGCCACGTCCCTGAGGCAGGATCGACCACGTGGCACAGTCCCAGTGACAGCACATGTGCAGAACCTGGGAGTGCAGCTGGGCAGCGCTGGGCAGGCCCTGGGGTCGTGCTAGGAAATGTGGATGTTTTCCCTAAGTTCAGTGAGAGCTACTGGCTGACTCCAAGCAGGATGCGCAGCGTGACGTGACGTGACGCGCCATTCTAAAAGCGTCCGGCGGCCTGAGCTGGCAGCCACAGCTGGACGTGGCTCCACGTGGCGCTGGGTCAAGAGCCTGACGTGGCCTCGGACACACGGTGGCGCTTGCTAAAGGGGCTCTCCCTCATCTCCCCCTTCCATCGCCCTGAGCACCCCAGGACTGTGGTCCTGAGTAAATGACGTCCCCTGCAGGCAGGCTTACTGCGGCCCTGCCTCTCCCAGCGCCTGACACACAGTAGATATGCAGAAAAGGCCAGACCTTGGATGGAGGGACACCTGTGAAAACTACTGGAGGTTCATGGGGCCCAAGGCAGGGAAATCAGGGGTCTCGGGCCCACACTTACGGTCTTGGGGGGCGGGAGGTCCGGGAGACTCTTCTGCGGGGCCGTGGTGTGCTGGCGGGGCTCCCCGTTGGCCAGCGGGCTCTGCTCCTCGGGCGCTGCGGGCAGCAAGCAGAAGCTCCGGTGAGGGGTGCCAGCCTCCAGCCTCCCCACAGGCCCTCATTACCCAGGAACGCCTGCTCACATGTGCCCGCGGGTGCTATTTGGGCAGGTGTTAATTACCCAGGGGCTGGGCCCAAGGCCGTTTTCCCTCCAGGAATAGGGCACAGCGGTGAACCCCGCCACAGATGCCTCAGGAGGAGCTGGTTTGGGGTCTGGCAGGCTCCGCAAGCCCGCCTCCACCCGCCCCGTGTCAAAAACGGCCTCGCCACAGAGCCCCAGTGCCCAGGGGAGCTGCCCTGTGGTCGCTATATTAAGCCACGCTCGGCTCCGACCCTGTGATTAGGGCTCTTTCCTTCCCCCAGTTTAGCGGGAAGGCCAGCGGCCCTGGGTCCTTGCCGGTGGGTGCTGCTGAGCCCAGGCCTCGCCACGGGGCAGGAGGTGGAAGCGCCACACTGAAGAACCTGACCACCAATACCCCTGCCCCCCCGTGCTTTGGAGGGAAAGGCTCCCACGGCTCTTCAAGGTCTGACCACTTTGGCCGGCGGCCCAGGCAGCCAGGGCAGACAGGCACAGGCAGACCTGACGTCGGGGCTTCGGTGGCTAATGTTTGAAGCCAAGATCTGAACAGGATGGAGGGTTCTGGGTGCTGTGTGTCTGCCTCTCTCTGAGCTCTGGGAAACAGGAGCTGGGAAACGGGCTTGTAACCCTCCCCTGCCTACCACGAGGCAGCCTACAACCCTCCGATCTCCCTGGGCTCTGCCAGTTCTACTCCCTAGGTTTTCAAAGGAAAGTAGGGAGGAGACCCGGGCAGAGATAAGACAGCCCAGAAGACATCCTGTGTCCTTCCTGCCCAAGAGAACACCTGGGGGAAAAGCCTTTAATATTAAGGCAGTTGCTGACATCAAAATTTCCCACCCCTCCCCGACACACACATAAAATCCAGACTTCTATCAAAGGACATAAAGCCGGAACTGCGGGGTCAGCACCATCCACAGCTGCCTTCCGAAAGCGTCTGAATTATAACTTCCTATTCCTGGGACAGTGCTGGGAAGAGCTGAGAGGTTTCAGGAACGGGTTCCTTAACCACAAGGGGGACGCGAGACCTTTAAGAGGCAAGGAGGTGGCCCGGTGCAGCCTCTCAAAATACATCAACCCAAAATACACCAACCAAAATGTGACTCTCCAAAATATCTCCCCGGGGCCCGTCTGTGGTGCTGGCTGGGAGGGCGGAGAGCTGGGACGGGACCAAGGCTCACACCTTCCCGGCTCCCGGGAGCTGGCCAGGCCGTGGGCAGCCCCAGCCCCATACCTTTGTCTTGGGACTCGGCATCCTGTGGCTTGTGGACTGTCACTTTGTTCATGTAAATGTACTCCTCGTCAGAACCTGCAGGGGGAGGATGGAAGTTCGTGTGATTGCGTGAAGGAAAGGGCTTCCAGAGAGAAACGGTGTCCCTTAGGGACACTGCCATCTGCTTGGATTCCAGGAAAGACTCACAGTATTTTGAGTTGACCAAAAGAGTCCAACATAAACAAAGAAATGCCAGGTTGCCGACTGTTCGTTTACAGTTAGGGTACAGACATCTCAAGGGGAAAGGCCCCCCACATCTCAACAATTTACACCTCATATTCCATTCACCAGAGATTGCTCTGGGCTTCCTAGCGTTTCATTTATACTGCAGAATGGTTCCTATCAGTCCCTCTCACTCTAGTCTGAATTACCTGCCTGGGCTAACCAGAACAAGATAGGTCACATTGAGGATCTGAAAGTTTAGCTCCCAGGCCTCTAGGTGGGGTGCCAATGTGGGGGGAGGGAGGGACTGAGAAATCCAAAACGTGAGTTCGGGTTTAGAGGTGTACATGTGCGGTGAATTGGCAATGGAGCACTTCTAGCCACTGCTCTACCCTGGAGACTGTACCTTGCAGCAGCTTATCCCTTCTCCTCCTTCAGAGTAATGTCTGTGCAGGCTGTCACTCTCCCAGTGCCTGCCTGGGCTGAGAAAGGCTAGTCTCCCAGCACTTGCTCGGTTGCTAACACCCAGGACTTTTTTCCAGGCACCCGCAGAGAAAGCTCGTCCTAATGTTTCTCCTCTCACAAACCCTCCTGCATGTCTTTCGAGGCCCTCAATTTGCATTTCCTAGAGACGTGTGGCTGACAGATTCCAGTGGCTGGAGACCCTGTGACCGAGCCAAGGAACCCAATCCAAACCCCTGGCAAAGGAGGCAGTTCCGTGCCAGTCAGTTCCTCACCACAGACCGCGCGGACTCGAGCCAACAGGCCTGCGGAAACAGCCCTGAGAACTCAGAGGCGCAGGAGGAGGATGGAACCAGATGCGTCCTCCACCGTCGGTCTGTGGATCGCCAGCTCAGTGCTCAGCCCCGCCAGGACCAGTCAGCCACACCATCCCTGTCCCAAGGGCGGCAGGAGCTCAAGAAGGGAACTAGGAGGCCCCAACACAGGGAGCTACAGCCGGCCTGTCTGCACCTTCAGAGCTCCAGAGGGCTGAGCCAGTACCTTCTGCAGAGCGTGCGCAGGGGAAAGGGCTCCGCAGGAGGAGGCCGGAGAGGCTTGGCCATGGACAGTGTCATTCTGGGCAAAACACCTCACCAGTGTGGCCTTGGTTTTCTTGTCCGCATCGTATGGAAAGCAATCGTGATGAAATATGGCCTCTTTCTACTTAACTGTGAAGCTCAAGAGTACAAATCCCAAATATAAGCAAATTTGAAAAAGGAAGGTCATCTTCTCACTGACAAAGATTAAAAATGGCAGCCTAGCCTGGCTGGTGTGACTCAGTGGTTGAGTGTGGACCTATGAACCAGGAGATCATGGCTCAATTCCCGGTGAGGGCACATGCCCAGGTTGCGGGCTTGATCTCCAGTGTGGGGCACGCAGGAGGCAGCCAACCAATGATTCTCTCTCATCACTGATATTTCTATCTCTCTCTCTCTCTCTCTGAAATAAATTATATATATATATATATATATATAGATGGCAGCCCAAAATACGGGCGCTCACAGTCTCAATAATGGGAAAATAGTGAAACAAACCATGGCACATCAACACACACAGCAGCATGTTGCCTGTAACCATAAACCGATTACTGAATGGCGTAGGCATCGGCACAGCCACTGGGAAGTGATTTCAGAGGATGATTTAATTGTACGTCTTCCTATTCTTTGACCCAGCATTTACAACGCCAGGAATTTCTCCTGGAGACCAACTCCAGCATGTAAACATACTCTTATCTGATGATGTTCATTGCAATACTGTATGAGGTTTCTTAAAAAAAAGAAAAAAAAGAAAAACTTAAATGCTTGCTAACAGGAGACCATTTGAATAATACTGTTCATCCATGATGCTACCCAACAGTGAAAAATGAAGTAGTCTCTGTCTGCTGTTTATAGAGACAGCCGAGATGAAAGTTAAAGGGCCCCATTTCAGAAGAGAAAAACCATGTGGACTGCCAGCGCATGGAAATGCGCACCGACAGCGATTATAAATGCAAAAACACTGTCAGGCCAAATACAGACGCAGGTCCCCACCACAGGATACCCCGGGGGACCCTGATAAAGATCACAACAGGAATCTAAGGACATAAATCATGCCTAATGTTCATTTTGCATTTCTTTCTCTCTTTTTTTTTTCATCTTGTTGACTACGCCCACACTGTCACACGAAGAAATAAAAGGCAAAATACTGTTATTGTTTTAACTGACGGCCTTCTGAGCAGGTGCTTCCTCTGAGAGGGAGACTCGTAAGCTCCAGAGAAAACTTGCAAAGGCCACCCCCAGGGCTACGTGGCTCCCAGCTCGGGCACCTGTGGGCCGTGGTCCCGGGTCCTTATTCGCAGAGGGTTGGGAATCCAGGACCATTCAGGTTGGCAAGGAGGAAGCTCCCAGCACCACCTACAATCCTGGGAAGAGCCCAGGGAATAGAGCCCTTCCAGGGGAGGCTGCTGAGCTGTCCCCGGGGCTGGGGAGCAGCTGCTTGGGGAGGGAGGACACTCCCCTTCATTCCCAGATGTGCACCCAACACCAGCGCTGATCTAGGTGTGGGGACACTGGACACTGTCTCTGCTTCCAGGAACCCAACAGTCTGTGCTTCCTGGGGGAGGGAGCATGCCTATAGAGGGGGGTCCTTCCCCGGGAATGGGGTGACAAGTGGGGAGGAGAGATATGGACCCTCTTTTAAAAAAAAAAAATTATTGATTTATTTTACAGAGAGGAGGGGAGAGAGATAGTTAGAAACACCGCTGAGAGAGAGCTGCCTATCGCACGCCCCCCACTGAGGATGTGCCCACAACCAATGTACATGCCCTTGACAGGAATCGAACCTGGGATCCCTTAGTCCACAGGTCGACACTTTATCCACTGAGCCAAACTGGTTTCGGCAAGACATGGACCCTCTTTGCTGCAGGTGGATAGACAGAACACCTGAAGCTCTTCCTAGCAGAGGGGCAACCCTGACACTTCCCTATAGTGCCTGAGTGGATGCTGGGGAGAGCTGGGGCCCTCCCTGGTGAGGGCAGGAACAAACAGCAGGCCCCCATACATAGACCTCGCCATGCAAACAAAAAGCAAAGTTAGTAGAGAATTGGTGTGGCAATAAGAAAGCAAAAGATGAAAAAAAAAATAATAAAAAAAAAAAGGAAAATTCCATCTGAAAAGTGTCAAACCCACGAGAAACAGCTCAGCCAGTGTCGGCCCCAGGCTGTCTCGGCGATCAGCCGCCTCTACCTCCACGTTCCATCAGCCTGAGCTCATTTTCTGAAGAAAGCATGGTGAGGCTGAGAGCAAGACGGGTGCTGTAGCTTTGGATACTGCCCTGTGTGATCCAGGTTAATCTGACACCGTGGGGCTGGAGGAGAACATAGTAGGCGCACCTGCCCAGGCCCTGCTCGGGCACCAGGGCCACCGGGCTCAGCAAGTGACTTCCCAAGCCTTGGTTCCCTTATTGGTAAGATGGGGACGATGACAACTCCCTCACTAATTTGGGAAGGGAAATGGATGACAGAGACCATGTTATTTTATATGCTGAGCCCAGTGCTAGGACCCGGTCAATCCACAACAAATGTTAAGCCACTCTGTGGTCAAAAGGATGCGGCAAGGGGACCAGAGGGAAGTTCTCAGGGCTATTAGTAGTGACTGTTACAACCTTAAGACTAGAAGTGGCTGCTATGGGCGTCGGTGAGGCCATGCACGTGTATTGTTAGCAGCTGGGGTGGCACTCTGGGGTGCGTCACATTAGGAGGCCATGACCGGACCTCAGCAGCCTCCTGCAGGCCTGCGAGCTGCAGAAACCAAGTGAGAACACAAAGATCAAGTGTGAAACCAAGGCCACCTAGTGCAAGGGCCATAGTTACACCAATACGGGGACCCCCTCCCCCCAGGGGATCTGCAAGAGGGGTTAGAGCCAAGTACCAGAGTTCAGACTCCATCACAAAGGTGCTTTCCAGTTCCCGCAGAGATTCTTCATCCCTGCACATTCTCAGGTCAGAGCGATGAGCTGGAAAGTGTGCTGTTTCAAGGATCCGCTGAGGGCCCTAGCCAGGTAGCTCAGTGGATGGAGCAGCAGCCTTTGGACTGAAGGGTCCAGGGTTCAATTCCAGTCAAGGGCATATGCCTGGGTTGTGGGTTCTATCCCCAGTAGGGAGTGTGCAGGAGGCAGCCGATCAGTGATTCTCTCTCATCATTGATGTTTCTCTCTCCCTTCCTTTCTGAAATCAATTAAAAAAAAAAATCCTATATAATAAAAGGCTAATATGCAAATCTGCTGAACAGTGGAATGACCGGTTGCTATGACATGCACTGACCACCAGCCTGCAGGGAGCAGGCCCAAGCCAGCAGTCATCCCCCAAGGGCTCCCGCACTGCGAGAGGGCACAGGCCGGGCTGAGGGACCCTCCACCCCACTGCCAGTGGAGAAATTTCATGCACTGGGCCTCTAGTAATAGTAATAAAGGATCCACTGATGCCCAGCCAGTGACTGAGCATCAACTTATGGACCAGAAGGTCACAGTTCGATTCCCAGTCAGGACACATGCCAAGTTTGTGGGCTCGGTCCCCAGTGTGGGGCATGCAGGAGACAGCCGATCAGTGATTCTCTCTCATCACTGATGTCTCCGTCTCTCTCTCTCTCTCTCCCTCTGCCTTCCTCTCTGAAATCAATAACAAAACAAACAAAAAAATCAAAATTACATAAATAAAAGATTCCGCTGACGAATCCTCTCGCGGATGATTCATGCCTCTCTACCTCACCTGCTCTGTGATGTGGCTTTCCCATCTGCCGTTCCCACCTTTGATGTGGGGCTGACCAGCACTCGGGCAGGCCGGCAGACGCTCACTACAAAGCCAGGAGCCTGGGAACCGGGGGCTGGCCCGGAGCCCAAAGACCCAGCAGCTCAAGGAGAACGCCAGGCGGGGGGAGCCAGGATTGTTTCACGGAGAGAGAAGGCTGCCGGGCACGTAGCAGCATGTGCAGCTTTACGACGACTCTGTTACTCAGAGAACAGAAACTAGTTCCACCGGGAACAAAGGAGAGGAAGTGGGGCCTTGGCCTGTGGCCCGGCAGGTTCAGGTTGGCCGCAGGGAGAGCTTCCTGACTCTGACGGCCGGAGCAGGTGCACGCCCCCTGCCCGGCACAAATGGAGGCTGCTCCTGCCGAGAGGCAGATGGAGGACAGGCCCCCTGATGGCCCCTTACTGTCCCCGCCCATCACTTCCGATCCTCAAGCATCCGAGATAAAAATAAACTCGGCTCAACTGCTATGACTTCACACGAAGGCTTTTCTATTTAAAAAAAAATCATAATAATAAATCGGAATGGGTTAGAAACAAAACCATGTGTCCATAAGAAAACGCGGCCAAGGATGTTCAGAGCGGCCTTTTTCATAATGTGTGAAACCGGAATGCCCGCCCCCGAGTGAGTGGAGCAGCAGATGGTGGCATCGTGGCAGAAGGAAACACTCCTCAGCAATAAGAGGAAGAAACCACTGCTCCGCCCCACAGCGTGGATGAACCTCCTAAGCAAGAGGCCAGACATGACGTGCACGCTCTACCATGCCATCCACGTGAAGCTCAAGGGCGGGCAACGCTGATCTACGGTGGGAGAAACCCGGACTGTGGTTGCCATGGGGAGGGGTTCCCTGGGAAGGGGCAAGAAAGAACTTTCTGGAATGACAGAAATATTCCGTGCCTTGTTTTGTGTGGTAGAGACACAGACAGTAGACAACTGTCAAAACTTAACCAATTGCACACTCATGATCTGTGTACTTGCTTGCGTGTGAACACGGACCTCAGTAAAAAAGAAAACAAACCTATGAACTCAGCGTTCTGTGATTTACAGATTCTTAAAACTGTGTTTTCTCATTTTTTTTCTTGGGCTGTTATGACACATGGCAAGTTATTTCAAGTCTCTTGGCCTCACCCTTAATGGTTTGGCTCAGTGGATAGAGCGTCGGCCTGCGGACTGAAGGGTCCCAGGTTTGATTCCGTTCAAGGGCATGTACCGTGGTTGCGGGCATATCCCCAGTAGGGGGTGTGCAGGAGGCAGCTGATCGATTTCTCTAACTCTCCCTCTCCCTTTCTCTCTGTAAAAAAATCAATAAAATGTATATATTTTTTTTAAAAGTCTCCTGGCCTCAGTTTTCTGTCATCACAGCCAACCTCAGAGGGCTGTCTTGAAGATGAAACAAGTTAATAACGTGGGCACGTAGGAAGCCCTCAATGAGGCCTCGGCTATTATTACAAGAGTTGACGATCCCTTCTCCACTTCCAACCAGTAAGGAAAAGTGCTTTGGAAACACGCTGTTGAAAACCTCACTCGTGGCTGATGTGTTGAGTGGTTGGAGATTTCTGGGCTCCCATTCAAGTCCCATCCCTCCCACACTATTGTTATGGGCTGGCCTGTGTTTCCTCGGAATGCATATGCTAAAAACCCTAGCCTTCAGGAGCTCAGAGGAGAGGTCATTGGAGAAGGGGTCTTTAAAGAGGTGATTCATATTAAAGGAGGCCACTGGCGTGGGCCCGAATCTAGTATGACCTCATTGGAAGGGAGATTTGGACACAGACAGGCATAAAGACCCAGGGAGGACACAGCCATCCACAAGCCAAGGAGCGAGGCCTCCAAAGGAACCAAATCTGGAGACATGTCGCTCTCAGGGTGCTGGTCTCCAGGACTGCAAGGAAGTACATATCTGCTGTGTGAGCCACCCAGCCTGTGGAACGTCCCTCTGGTAGCCCTCGTCAGTACAACCACCATCGGTCCCTTCCCAGGGGCCTCTCCTGGCCCGGGCCGCACTCACTGCTGCTTTTGATGTACAGGCGGAGGCGCTCGGCCAGGCCACTCTTCCTCTCCGCGGCCGTGCTGCTCAGGCTCTCCTGGTCCAGGATCTTGAGGAAGTCCTCCAGCTCCGTCAGCAGCTGCTCCAGCGCTAGAGAAGAGGACAGAAGAAGCCGTTACCGTGGCTGCCTTCTTAAAGGCCTAACTCTGACATCCTTCTCCGCCCCCTCTTGCCCCCGGGGTAGCATCTCACCATGAACTCTCTGGTCCCAAGGAGAGGGGGATAGGGTAAGGCCTGGCAGCTTGTGGGTTGCCCAGTGCCAGGATCTCAGGGAGAGGAAAACAGGCCCTCAGCCAACAATGCAGGTCTAACATTTGCTGGCGTGATGGTAGCCGAGATGGCCCAAGCAAGCCCGTAAGGCCATGAGAATGTGGAGACAGAATTTCTTCCTTGATAAAAGCCAATTAAAGTAGCTCAGCATCACTAAAACCGGTTTGGCTCAGGGGATGGAGCATCAGCCTGCAGACTGAAGGGTCCCAGGTTCGATTCCAGTCAAGGGCATGTATAATACCTTGGTTGCGGACACATCCCCGGTAGGGAGTGTGCAGGAGGCAGCTGGTTGATGTTTCTCTCTTACCGATGTTTCTATCTCTCTCTTCCTTTCTCTTCCACTCTGTAAAAAATCAACAAAATATATTTTAAATAGATAAAGTAGCTCAGCATCCAGAGAATTGGAACACAGATCAAACCCACAACCCTCAAAAGAAGTACTATGGTTGACCAGTTGTTCGTTCTTTCTCCAAGAATGGGGAAACACAGAATCACTCCAAGGAGATGACACAGTGGTCCCGCCGTTCTTGCAGAAATATGGATGGCCCATCAAACGCCACGCTTGAGCAAATAAAACCTTCCCGAGTTTCTTCAGTGATTGGGCCACCTCAGTCATCGCCAAGTCCAGCATCGCCCCCAGGGAGAGCCCTGGACCCACGGATTCCCATTATCAGTATGTCTCCCCCAAGGACCACCGCCATCGAAGCACTCATCTCCCAGCTGCAAGCCCCTTGCAGAAGTGCTAGTACAGAGGGTGGAAGTCTAGGAGCAGGGCATTCACCAGTGTTGTTGTAGTCGCCATTATTAGTATCTGAATCTCCACTAAGAAGAGGGTGGCCTATCTGGTGTGGCTTAGTGGCTGAGCTTTGACCTATGAACCAGGTCATGGTTCAGTTCCCAGCCAGGGCACATGCCTGGATGTGGGCTCATCCCTGGTAGGGGGCATGCAGGAGGCAGCCCATCAATGATTCTTACTCATGCATCACTGATTCTTCTTTCCCTCCACCTCTCTGAAATCAATAAAAAAATGTATTTTAAAAAAAGAAGGCATTGAATTTGCTGATGGGTTCATCTTCTTTTGCATCTGCTGATGGGTTCATCATCTTGGCTCTTCCTGCCTGCCTGACTCTCCAGAACATGCTCATTCATGCACGCCAGCTCCTTGAGGGCCTAAAAGTGCTTTCCAACCACTGGAATGACCTGGAGAGCTTTTACAAATCCGGATGTACCCCCGCCGCCGCGGGTATGGCTCAGTGGTTGAAGTGTCGACCTATGAGCCAGGAGGTCATGGTTCAATTCCTGGTCAGGGTACAGGCCCAGGTTGTAAGCATGATCCCCAGTCTGGGGCATGCAGAAGGCAGCTGATCAATGATTCTAGCTCATTTTTTTATGTTTTTCTCTCTCTCTCCCTCTCTGAAATCAATAAATATATATATATATATATTTTTAAATCCAGAGGCCCAAGCCCACTCCAGATTGATGAACAGAATGTCTGGGAGTGGAACCCAGGGGTCAACGGTTCTCCAACTTCTGCACACAATTGCCATGTTGCAGCCAGCAGAGAACCACAGATCCAAACCCAGTGCCGGGACCACAGCGGAGGACCCTGCTCCCCATGACAGCAGCAAGTCCAAACTGGCCCTCTATCGCGTGCTGTGGGGACTCTGAGCAGTCCTGCGACCGCATCCAGCTCTGAGACCACCACGGGGCCCGCCCCTCTCACAAGGCGGTTGTGAGTGACGAGGTCTATGCAGCTTCTCACCCCTGTGCTTGTGGAGTGCTACACTAGCCACTCAGAGTGTTATCATAACATCCTGGTTTTCCTTCTCACCCCCTGGCATCGTTAGTTTTTTGTTTTTTTTTTCCACCCCCAGCAGTCATCTCTAAGCTCCCCTTCAGGAAAAAAGAAAAAAAAAAAAGTAGCAATTCCTCTGGATGTGCCTCCTGAGGGAGGGGAAGAAAGTCCCCTCTTCAAAGAAGCCCTCCCTGACACCCTGTCCAGGTGGACATTTCTTGTTGTCTTTTGTTTTTTAATTTTTATTTTCTAACTCAGCAGCGACCTTTTGCCTCCCTAGCCCCAATCACAATTTGTTAACAATACGAACGTAAACGATTTTAAGTAAAAGCTGAAAATGAGGAAAATGAACAATGAATAAAATAACTGTTTTCTTTTACTTTGCTCATTTTTTAAGTTGTATTTTTCTTCCCCACCCGAGTCTGGTCCGTTAGCTGAGTGGAGTTGGGACCACGTTCATCTTGCATCTTTGCCACTGCACTGCTGTACGTGTGGAATGAATGAATGAATGAATGAATGAAGAACGAACGAGTCAGTTTATAGGTACCTACTAGTTGACAACTCTTTTTAAAAAATATATATATATTTTATTGATTTTTTTACAGAGAGGAAGAGAGAGGGACAGAGAGTTAGAAACATCGATGAGAGAGAAGCATCAATCAGCTGCCTCTTGCACACTCCCTACTGGGGATGTGTGCCCGCAACCAAGGTACATGCCCGTGACCGGAATCGAACCTGGGACCTTTCAGTCCACAGGCTGACGCTCTACCGCTGAGCCAAACCAGTTTCGGCTAGTTGACAACTCTAAGAAGCAAGCATCAGTCCGTTTTGCAGACGTGAACCAAGCCGTCCCAAGAGGGCCCATGGCAGAAAAGGTACCAACAGAGCTTCTCCAGCCCACCAATGAGTAAAATCGGGTGAGACCCCACAGCATGGCCTAAACTCACTGGGAAATTAAAAAAGCAGAGCCAGGGGAGAGCCAAGTGGGAAGACACCAGCTTTAAGCATGATCGGAGACGAGACCAGAACACGGCCCCCAGCCTGGGAGGCTTCTGGGAAGAGGCGGCGGGAGGGCCAGGCCGTGGGTGATTTTCTGGTTTGGTCTCGCACAGCTATTCATGAGCTTCCTGCTGCGCTTCAAGAAGTCAAACCGGGACACACAAAGGATGAATGCGAGGACTCTGACCCGGAGCCTTGAACTCGACTACAGCGGAGAAGCAAAAGCGAAAGGGCCTGGCAAAGCCGTTGGGGTCTCGGCTGCCTTTTTCCTGACCCCCTGAACTTCAAACTGTTCTGCTGTTGGAGGGAAAAAAAAAAGGCGCCCAAACGGAAAGCGTCTCTTCTCTTCCACATCCTCCACTCTTCCCCCAAAGCTGCCCGATTCCTGGAAAACAGCCTGTGTTTATCTGCACACCAGCAAGTGCGGACTGAGGCAAAGGGAAGCGCTGTGCCCTGGGAGACAGATGTGGCCCAGATGGGTGCCCAGCCCTCCCAGGGGCCCTCGGTGTGGAGAGAGAGCAGGAAACAGGCAGGGAGAGGACAGAAGCTCTCAGGGACGTCTCCAGGGATCAGGAACGCACCCAGGGAGGAGAGACGAACGGTGGGGTTGGGGGGACAGGAGCTTCTAGGCTGGCCACGGAGGCGTGAGGAGGGCTCACCCGCACGAGGCAGAGGCACGTCAGGAAAGGAGGGTGAGGTGCTCAGAAGAGTGTTTGGGAAGCCACACCAGCTGTGTCTCAGGGGTTCAAGGAGCATGGGGCAGGGAGCATGGGGCCTCCGAGGGGAGAAGGTGGTCTCTGAGGCCACAGATACAGAGCACGGACCTGTTCTGCTAGCCAGTTAGTGTCGAGCACCTCAGGGCCTCTGGGCAATGCCGTGGGGAAGGCCGGGGAGCACTGCCCTTCAAGCGGGCCAGGGACAGACTAACTCTGCAGATAGGGAGCACGGGGGAAGGGGACCAGGGAGCCAGGAGCGGAGGCAGGGAGGCCAGCAAGATGACTGCTGGCAACGGTGAGGCCATGTACCACCCTGCGCCCCCACCCCCTCCCATCCCATCAACCACTGCGCGGGCACACTGTGGCATCGGGCGCCTGAGGCTGACTGGTGACCCAGCTCGGTCACACCCGCGGTTAGGAGCTGCACTGGGGCTCACGTGCTGCCTGCCATCTGGGGAGGGTCTGTGTGGATCAGGACGTCTGGGTCCCGCGTCCCACCACAGTCCACAAGGCGGGGAGGTGGCGGAGGGGCTGGACTCCAGATAGGACAGGCAGAGCCATGGGACCTGGTGATTATTCCATCCGACGGAGGGACCGTGAGAGAAGACGCCCCTGGGTGACTGAGAGACGCTGAACACCATCAGACACACAGGCTGGGGACACAGCCTGACCTCGTAGCTGTGGTCCCCTGCCAATCAGGGAACGGAGGTGCCAGGCAGGTAGGTGGGGGGAGCACACACCCTCCTTTTCCTCAAAAGCAGCTCGGTAAACAGTAAGCAGCAGCATTCCAGAAACTCAGGACCAGGAACCAGAGTCCCCAAGCCCAGGGTGTCACTGCCCTCCTCTCTGGATCTGTACCCAGGTCCCTTATTATTATTTAAAAATATATATTTTATTGATTTTTTACAGAGAGGAAGGGAGAGGGATAGAGAGCTAGAAACATCAGTGAGAGAGAAATATCAACCAGCTGCTTCCTGCACACCCCCTACCGGGGATGTGCCTGCAACCCAGGTACATGCCCTTGACCGGAATCGAACCTGGAACCTTTCAGTCCGCAGGCCGACGCTCTATCCACTGAGCCAGACCGGTTCTGGCAAGGTCCCTGCTGCACAGCATCGCCCGGGACCAGGGGCACCCAGCTCCCTTGCCATCGTTGCCTCCGTGGCTTCTTCACTGTCAAAGCCAGCTGCCCACGGGCATGTCTGTGTGAGCCAGGCCTGTGTCTCAGGCCAGGCAGCCACCCTCTGGTCAAGGGTGGGCCACGGTAGGTTTGGGCCCATGACAAGGTGCTGAGTGCGACAGGGGCCAGC